AGACTAGCTTACGACCGCGACTCCGTCCGCAAAAAAAAACAAAAGCAAGTAGCCTATGTGTTCTTCCAGAATATCCTCTACATCTATGCCAAATATCATCGAGATCCGTTCAGTCGTTTAGGCTATAAACTCTAACAAACATCCATCCATCTAAACTTTAGCATTTATAATATTAGTATGAAGTATGAAGTATGATTATCGTACAGACTGGACATCCTATACTTGGCAAGTATGCAACAAAGTCATTTAAAAAAATAGACGAGTCATTGAATAAAAAAATTTCACCGGTACTTTCTTTGACCGGTACTATGTTAGTTGTCAATTTTAGTGTCACCTCGTGTTGTAGTGACATGTAATAAAGCATTTTACCAAATTTAAACTTCATCTTTAATTTAAAAATCGGTCATAAAACAATTATTTTAAATACAATTAATTGTATTGACATGTGGTTTTCAGGATCTAATCAATAGATGGCGTTAGTGATGATTATATGAAAAAAATGTGTCAAGTGTCAACTATGTCAACTCTATACATTTTTAATCTCTACTAGCTGTTCCCATGCGACTTCATCAGCATTAAATTATACAAAAAAAAACATTTTATTAGTCACATTTGTCAAGTTATCAATAGCAAATGTCAAAATGACAAGACTATGGCAATCTTGCTTTCTTGATGTTGGCAGCAACTTATGGTCTCTTTCCCACATTAGGGTTTTAATCCAAAATATTCACCCCTAAGTTTAATAGCATGAAAATATATAGCCTAAAGCGTGACGTAACTGTAGGGCTTTTTATTGAAAAAAAAAAGAGTTATTCGAAAATATGCTGTAATTGCTGACATCTTAGGTAACAAAGAAGTGTGTGTTTACGCTTTATTATATTAGTATAGATGGCTATCTACTTGCATTTGTAACCAGCCAAAATAGTTACATACGTCTAAGTATTTATCTCAAACACCAACAGCGCATTCTCGTCCTTTGTACTGAGAGCCCAGGTTTCGGAACCGTAATATGGGTGTCACAGCCATGTTATGCTTTAATAAAATATAGTCTTCATTACCTCGTATGTTTTTTTCCAATTTGCACAAAATAACCTTACCAATATGGCCGTCGTGTCGTCGAGCTAATGCAACACCCTTATTTTTGACATCCGACTACTATTCGATTATTAACATAACAAGCACAATTACGACATTTTAAAACCATGACATAAATATTTTTAATAATGTTTTGGATCACCATTACAAAGTTATATCGTTATTTCAAACGATGACCAATGACATAGATTTATAGCACAGACTAAATAACCTTCAAGAATACAGAATACATCAAAATAGTTAAAAAGCTAACAGTAAGTAATAGGTCTTAAAAGCATCTTGTACAGCAGCAATTTTATTTTTCGGGTCAACAGTTTAGGACGAAGGTATTTCAAAAGGCCGAAATAGCATAGTTGAGATGGGTAGACGGTGTAAATCGTGAAAGAATGTTGGCATAATAACCTGGAAATCGGTAACCACTAATACACCGAAGTGGAAAAAATTGGTTGACCAAGCCAAGGTCCAACAAAGGGCTGAGGAGCTAAGAAAATAAAATAAATTTTAACAGTGGTAGTGCCCGCTTTAACATCTTAGCACGAATGGGCCGGCTCGCCCGGTGTAATACCACGACCACACAGAAGACAGGCGTGAAGTGGAAGCAATTCCGTGTTTCGTCTGATGAGTGTGGTGCCGGAGGCCTAATTGAAGTCCCTTTTTCTTTACCACCATTTTCTTATAAGGAGAGGATGGGAAGGGAAAGTGGATTTGACAGAGGAGGAGATACATAGGTAGTGGAAATATCCTCTTTATGTGCATCTCCTTCTCTGTCGGATAAGGGTAGGCAACGCATTTGCAATTGCGGATGTCTATGGGCAGCGGTCGCTTCGCCATTTTGGCGGATTCAGGTGGCCGCTTGCTCGTTTGCCACCTTTTGTTATAAAAAAAAAATTGGAGTGTCTGTTTGTAATTGCATTGCTGATAACGAAAATCGCATTTGAAAAATTTGTGTCTGTCTGTTCGTAAGCCGTGTTTGTTCCGGGTAATCTCCGAAACGGCTGGGCCTGTATATTTTTTATTCGTTGCCAAATTATATAACCTATAAATGTGTTATCTATTTTGCTGTTACGTGATTTAAATTGTCAGGTTAGATAATAAATCTATAAACATCCCCGGTGTTTTCCGGGATCATTGTTTTGTATGTATCTATACTATTATAATAAAGCGTAAACACACACTTTTGTTGCTTAAGATGTCAGCAATTACAGGATATTTTTCAAAAATTCTCTCTGGAATAAATAGCCCTACACTTACGTCACGCTTTAGACTATATATTTTCACACCATTAAACTTAGGGGGTAAATATTTTGGATAAATGTGGGAAAGAGACTATAAGTTGCTGCCAACATCAAGAAAGCAAGATTGCCATAGTCTTGTCATTTTGACATTTGCTATTGATAATTTGACAAATGTGAATAATAAAATAAAGTTTTTATAATTACATGCATAGTTAATTTTAAATAAGATATCTTCTTTCCAGGTATAGTAGTTTGAAGTTGATTTGAATCTTTATTCTTGAAGACAGAAGAAGAAGAAGAAGCAATGTTGGAGGACGTGATGCCGACAATGCGCAGTCTGAGCCCGGATCCAGAAGATGTCGCTGCGGTCAGCAAGAAGTACATCCAGGTATGCCTGTTAATATGCGACCACGATAACATGATAGTCTCGTATATAAAAGGGAATATGCTTGTTTTTTATTTTCTTTTTTTAAACGATTTTACTTGTTATAAATAACCAGAAAATAATGACTCCAAAACATTCAACCATTGAGCTAAAAATAATAAAATAAATTTACGATCATTTTCGTGCGACTAAAGTGACCCAAAGCAAGACACGTGACGTCAATCGTCATATTTCATTCTTCAAGTTCGCTCATTACACTTCGATGTAAAAAAACAACAACAATGTATCTCATTGGTTCTCAGAGTTATCAAAAATCTATGTGACTGTATTTATTGGATTTTAATCTTTCAACCAATTACAAAGAAAAATATCTTTCATTGGCTGAATTTGCAAGAAAATACTTAATAAAATACAACAAATTAGCTTATTTTTATTAGAGGAATTATAAATAACGTATTTATTGCGTTGCACAACGAAATAAAACAAGAAAAACTAATAAATATATTGCTAGTAAATTATTGGTAAACCAAACAAATGGAACATTGACAATATTTATAATTTTACGGTAGCATAGATGATTGATGTCCAAATTATCGGTGAAGCAAAAAAGCACGTGTTAAACAACACGGGCAGCCATTTTAAAATCAAATAAGAAGCAAAGTGTAAATATTGCGAATGTACTTTGAACCCGGATCAATCGAACGACTTATTTATTCTATAAATAACGACGCGGTAGTTATGTGGAACTCTCCCCCCATAATGGGCATACCCACTAAACCCCTCGGTTCCTCCAACGCCTTAAGCCGGGGTTACGGGCATGCTCTCCCTTACGGCCGCGGCCCCGGCTTCCGTCTGCTGCTATTGGCAGCACCCTCGATGGGATAAACAACCTTTTTTCAAAGGGGAATGCGTTACGCATACTCCGTGCCTCTGGGCAGACACGTGAGTTATGTGGGACTCTTCCCCCATAGTGGGGTCATACCTCACTAAGCCCCTTCGTTCCCTTCTGGCCATTGTGTGGGACGCCACGGGATCGCCTGTGCTTGCCACCGCGACGCCCCACTGATGGGATAAACAACCTGCCCTGTTCGCACGGCTCCACCGCCACAGATACAAAAAAGTGCTTATTTAGATTACGAAATCTAAAACTACAGCGTTCCAGTTCGTCCACAGAAATAAAGAATAGTGAAAAGATAGATGTTATTAACTGATAACGTAGCTTTTTAATGGTGAATGATTTTTTCAAATCGGTCTAGTAGTTTTTGTTATTCAATACATACAAAAATACAAATCTTTCCCCTTTATATTAGTATAGATACAGATAAAATCAAATGTGTAAACATACCTGTACTTTTGATTTTTCTAATGTTGAAAATTTTGTGATGGTCATTATTCTTCTTTAAGAGCAAACGGCCACTATAATTCGCCGAGAAAGTGAAGCCGCTGTCCATATACATCCGCAATTGCTAACGCATTGCCTACCTTTATCGTAGAAGCACATAGAGAGGATATCCCCTTCTTATATCTCTAACGTCAAATCCACTTTTCCTTCCCATCCTTGCCGTATGAGAAAGGGAAAGGGACTAAAGATTGACTTCAGGGACCACACTCATCAGAATGTACGCGGAATTACTCCCACTTCACGCTGTCTGTATGGTCGTTGTATTACATCGACTGAGCCATACAGTGCGAAGATGTTAAAGCGGGCTCTACCACTGTTAAGTGTTTTATGGGAAAGTTTTTTGATAAAATATCTCACATTTATCGTGTTAAATCTATGCGGAAGTATAAATAAGTATCTGACACAGTGAAGCTACAATTTAGCATAACCTTGGCGAATAGTAAACACTCATAAAGTATGTTGTCAGACATAGAAAAATATTGTGCAATAAATATTTGTGGAGTTCAACGCCATCTAGTTATATTTTATTAAAGCTAATACTATAATAGTGTTGCTATCCAATACTAGATGGCGCAATCACATTTTTTCTTATATGATTTTTAAATTATGTGTATTTTAACCTAATCGTCTTCAGATAACAAAATTTGTTTTAAAGTAAATATACTTTTAAATAAATAAAAAAGCTATAATTTTATTCCACAAGACACCTGGATTTTCGCGATACGTCATACGGTTGTTGACCTTTTTTATTTGGTTGGATAGTTTTAATTATATATCCGTCTCGTTTCTTTGTATAGCGTTATCTCGCTCTATGTGTCATCCGTACAGTGACGTGTTCGTGTGATTTCGACTTCGATCCGAAGTCAGTCACAAAACGATATTCATCCGTTTATAACCTGAATCGTGTTTGTAAATTAATATAATAAATAAATTATTGCGAAATTAAGTGCCTTCGTGCTTACATATATAAAATTAGATTATAATTTATCTAATTAAAATATTACTGTGACACATTTGATGCTTATAAGTGTATTGTGATGGTTTTAAAAAGTGGACGAAATCAAGTGAAATATAGTTTTTGTAGTGTTTTTACATATTTTCGCAGTTACTCCGTTAGTGTTTAACGGTGTGGAACATCTTGTCTTGAATATAACAGCGGTCAGGTTATAAAAAACTGTACAAAAAACGTAATTATTAACATAAGTTGTTACTAAGCGTTTACCTTCATTTAACATTGTTTTACGATAAACTTGCGTAAATTTTTATAAGGTTGCTTTTTTACCGCGTACATTAACTACAAGTGTTAAAATGTTTTTTTACCTTATCAATTCTTATCAGAATCTATTATAGTTCCTATTAGATATTTTTTCACCTTGTACAATTCTTTGTTTGGTTCGACAGATTGTTTATGTCAAATGTAATTTTTTTTTAATATATTAGTAAAAGGTAATTAACACATACAGCCAAAACTCAAAGTTTGTGAACTTTGAGTTTTTTTTAAACAAAATTATTTGATTTATTAAAATAGACCACACTCAGATGGTAATGGTCACTAAGGGAGCCCATTAGTATATATAAAATTACACTAAGTGATTATTGAATGCAGATGTTTGTGAGTCAATGTTTTAGTTACAAGCTTTTTGGCAATTGTTCAATTTCAAAGTATGCAATTTTGAAAACAAACAAAAAGACATGCAAGTATTAGGTTTTTTGCTAGATTTTTTGTCTGAAGAATGTCCCTTTAAAATGTAAGGAACTTTGTAATGTTCTTGTTATTGCTGAATTGTTTTTGTTGTTTAGACAAAATGTTTAAAGTCTTCATCTTTTCGTGAAAATTAAAAAAAACATGTTTATTTCTGCTTGACTATCTTTATAACATGGCTTAATCAATTTTGATACTTTTTAGTTACTTCTGGGATCATAGAGACAGTTTTTTCAAGTTTTTTCAAGTGTTATAAACATATATGACAAATATCAAATCATGCATATAATTGAATTAATAAATGAATTTTCATCATGACATAACTTTTAGCAACCATAGATAGTGTATATGTTTTTTTTTCTAACTTTAATAATGAATTGGCAATTATTTGATATCATATTAATTAGATAATCATTATTTTTGATAACTTATAGGCTCGTTTTTTTGCAAAATATATCTAGATAAAATTATAAACTAGCTTTTTTCCATGACTCTGTGTGGAATTTAAAAAAAAAACAAAAATAGCCTATTCCTGTTGTGTTGTAGTGTTCTTCAAGACTATCCTCTACATCTATGCCAAATTTCATTATAATCCACCCAGCTGTTTAATTACAAACTCTAACAAACATCTATCCATCTAAACTTTCGTTTTTATTTATGTTTGTTAGTATGTATACTAAACTGCTGAACTAATCTTGATGTTTGTCATAGATGTAAGTAGTCTGGAAGAACACATAGGCTACTTACTCTTTTTTTAAATTCCATATAAATGGAGTTCTATGTAAAAGCTTTAGCAACTATAATGTATGACAATTGGATGCATCAAAAAACTGAATCATACTAATATTATAAATGCGGAAGTTTAGATGGATGTTTGTTAGAGTTTGTAGCCTAAACGGATGAATAGATTTCATAAAACTTGGTATGGATGTAGAGGATAGTCTGGAAGAACACATAGGCTACTTACTTTTGTTTTTTTTATTCCACGCGGACGAAAGCTAGTGTTAAATAAAAAACAAAACATACAGATGAATAGAGTACCTCCTTTTTGGGAGTCGGTCAAAAATATTGTGTCATAAAAGTCATAATAGTTGTAGACTGTCAGTCCATTATTGGTTCACATTTGATTTTACTTTATTGAGACTAGCTGTTGCTCCCGAGCTTGCCCGCGTGAAATTAAAATATATACCCTATGTTACTTGGATAAATTACCTTTTATAATGGTAAAAGAAATTTTTAAAATCGGTCCAGTAGTTTTTGAGTTATTTCAATCCATCCAACAACAAAAATCTTTCCTCTTCATAATATATTAGCTGTTCCCATGCGACTTCATCTGCATAAAATTATGAAAATCTTATTTTATTGTTTACATTTGGCTAATTTTCAATAGCAAATGTCAAAATGACATGATATGACAAACCTTGGCTATCTTGCTTCCTTGATGTTGGCAGCAACCTATGGTCTCTTTCCCACATTAGGGTTTTTATCCAAAACATTTACTTTTTAAGTTTAATGGCGTGAAAATATATAGCCTAAAACGTGACGTAAGTGTAGGGCTTATTATTAAAGAAAGAATTATTTAAAAATATGCTGTAATTGCTGACATCTTAGGCAACAAAGAAGTGTGTGTTTACACTTTATTATAATAGTATAGATAGATAGAAGTACAGATTAAAGTCAAGGTTTTAAAGAAACTATAGAACAAGGAAGTATTACTATCTATTATTAAGCGGAAATCTGTTCTAATAACTCATATAATCTTTGTTAATTGTTACGTTTGATTAATTACTAACTGAAATATATATAACGAGCTATCGCCAGCGACTTCGTCCGCGTGGAATTAAAAAAAACAAAAGTGAGTAGCTTATGTGTTCTTCCAGACTATCCTCTACATCTATGCCAAATTTCATCGAGAACCGTTCAGCCGTTTGGGCTGCAAAGTCTAACAAACATCCATCCATCCATCTAAACTTTCGCATTTATAATATTAGTAAGACTAGCTGTTCCTTGCTACTTCATCCGCATGAAATTATAAATTAAAAAAATGTCTTTCTAATGTCGAAAGAGTTTTTATATCGGCTCAGTAGATTTTACGTGAATCAAATATATACAAAAATCCAAAAATACAATTCTCTCCTCTTTGTAATATTAGTACAGATATAGATATGCTATGAAATATCTTAAACCAGAATTTTATTTTTTGATAATTAAATTTTTCCATAAATAGACACTTAATTTAGTCGTTTAAATGTATTTAGTAATAATATTTTGTTAAATAGAGTTTTAAATACATGTAATGTTCGGATGGTCTGAAGGAGGTTGGTATAATGACAACCGGCAGTCAGTGAAGTATTTAAAACGATTTACAAAATAACGTAAATAAATAACAGCTTTAACCGCACTAACTCTCGGTGGTTACTACCGGACTGATTTACATTATTGGGTGAAGGGTGAAAAATAATTAGACACATTGCATGAGAACCATAAACAGTCCCTTTGAATCCCATAATAATATTAACAACATAAAGTGATCAAACAATGTAAGATCCTCCGACTGTACACTCATTACTTCTGATTTCAAATTAGGTGTAAAGAAAATTTGCGTAAATATAACAAACACACAGTATATACAAAATAATGTATTTCATCTAAATAAGTTGTAAATATAAAAAATGCTAGTAATTGCAAGGTTGATCCTTGACATAAAATCATAGTTTTTCTTTAGCATTTACGGTATTACATAAAACCTTTATGTAGGAAACCTGTTAATACAATAAGTAATATAACCTAGCTGTAGCTGGCGACTTACTCCGCGTGGAATTAAAAAATAATTCAAGTAGCCTTGTTCATCTAGACTACTCTACATGTATGACAATCATCGAGATTTGTTCAGGATTTTAGGCTACAAACTAACTTCCATTTAAAAATTCGATAATATTAGTGTTTAGGTGTCAAAGCATAAATCAAAACAGTAATGATTATTTGATCTTTGATAGTACAGTAATGTTATAGTGCTGTCATCATTCTATACTCTTTGACAGTTGTCAAATTATTGACAGATTGTCGTTATGTTAAATCACATGTAAAAGTTTCTTTAAATTTGTGCTTTTTAAACATACATATATTGTCTTTTGAGTTAATATCTCCTAAACAATTAGTAAGACTATTAAATAGCTATAAAAAATAATTGGACTCTCTTACATTTCATTGCTTATTATATCATACTAATATAAATGCGAAAGTTTAGATGGATGTTTGTTAGAGTTTGTAGCATAAATGGCTGAACGGATTTTGATGAAATTTGGTATAGATTTTTCTACTTTTTCGTTTTAATTCTACGCGGAGTCGCGGGCGAAAGCTAGTTATTATAAATGTAAAAACATGCAACATCAAAAGTCGACGAAAATATCGCGTTTGACAGATTCGTTTCGCGCCAAAAGCGTTACTTTTTTTCACCAACAAATAATAGCATGACCTTGTGAAGACGTACGGGCGTCAGGTCGATGATCTAACATTGAAACGACTAATATTTTTAGTTTATCTACGCTATCGTTTGCTTGAATTTTGAGTTACGCTAATTATATTTAATTAAAAAATATCACATACTCACAATTTTTAAATATTGACATAGAGTAGATAAGGTTGACGTTAAAATTTCGAAAATCGAATGGGATTCGAATTTCAAAGTTTTATCACATTTTTTTAAATTAGGTATAGAAGGCAATTGAATTTTTTTTTTAATTTAGATGAAATATTTGTATATTTGTATGTAATTAATGAACTCAAAGACTATTACAATACTTTAAAAAATCTTTTACCGTAAGAAAGCTACGTTATCACTGAGTGACATGGGTTGCTCAGTGGTTTAAGCACTTGACTTGTAATCTACAGTTCTTGGGTTCGAATCCCGCTGTACCTGTGATTTTCGAATATATGTTCATAATTTACCCGACATTCTAACGGTGAAGAAAACCATCGTGATGCACATATCGGCGAAGAAATTCAAAGAGGTTGGGAAGAGGAAGTGGATTTGACGGTGGAGGAGATGCGTAGGAAGGGGAAATATCCTCTTTATGTGCGTTTCCTCCTCCGTCGTATAAGGGTAGGCAACGCATCTGCAATTGCAGATGTCTATGGGCAGCGGTCGCTTCGCCGTTTTGGCTGTTTCAGGTGGTCGCTTGCTCGTTTGCCACGTTATGTTATATAAAAAAAAGCTTTGGTGTCAGGGGGATCACATAGTCGTGGTCAAGACAAGAGGCTCTTAACCAACCAGCTCAAGGGGGGTCATGATCCCCATAACCCCCCTCGTGGATCCGCCCCTGAACTAAGAGTAGGCTCCGAGCCCTTCAGTGGGGACGTATAGTCAGCTGGTGATGTCATAGGTTATTTTTTTATTCCGCATAAAACAAGTTTTTAAAAAATACTATAAACGATTACTTTAAAAGTCAATATTATTTTCTTAATTCACTCGAGATGTGATTTTTA